GGCAATTAAGCCTCTACCAAAACCACTGTGCTGTAAAAAAATGCCTATAGTGGGTATGTGCCCGAAATCTGGCTAGTGCCAATAATTTTGCTCTGACCCCGTCACGGTGGTATAGTAGTGGTTAAGGCTCTCGGTCACTGACCCGCCGGTCGCGGGATCAAATCCCGGTCAAGCGTTCGCATTTTCAATGGAGGCGAGAACGCTTGAGGCCCGTGTACTTTGATTTGGGTGCGCGTTAAATAACCACAGGTGGTGCAAATTTTCGGAGCCCTCCACTACGGCACCTCTCGTATTCATTTGATGGCTTTTGGACGTAAAACTCTACAAATTATCATTACCCTGCTCTGCTGAAAAAAATCACCAATGTCTATAATACTGTCTAATGTGACTCTGATTGATTCTTCGTGTTGGGGCAAGGCCAAGTGTGTTTGAAGTCGTGGCTTTCCATACGCCATAAATGACGATTTCGGGGAATTATAGGACGTCAAACACTACGCCATTATTCGTCTTTCTGCGCGGATAAGCCAGGCATACATACTTGTAAGGCATTATGTACACACTTGTGATGCTGCACTTAGTCAACGGATCAACAATATTTAAATATGTACAGCCCAACAGTGGAGGCCTGCTGGGAAATGTGTGCATTACAACTCCTGTGTCCCCCCAGGGTAGTAAGCTGGCTATAACTGTAGCGTTTTCCGTTTCAGTCATTTCTCTCTCCCGCCGATGCCGCATGTGACTGATTACGATGAATTATGGCTGAGCACTTCGGAGTGGGTGGGAGACCTTAAACCACGCACTCGTTGCGCAATTAGCATTGAGCGATGACCGATTGTTAATTCACTCATTGGTCACGGTATATTACATATGTCAGCGCTATCTTTTTGCAAATTAGTTTCAAGCACTAGTGTGACTCTGTGGTATAGAATGCTCGACTGCCACGACGACGCCAACGCCGCCCTATCGCAGGGACGGGCACCTGAAAGCTGCGCTCTACACACTTGCAATAGATTTTGTGCAATTTTTTGATGCTGTGGCTAACGAGCTTTTCTCTTATGGGGTTGGAACATTTGACAACCCACTCGTTACGCAATTCCAATTGTGTGACGCCTGGTTGTTCCTTTGCCTAGAGTCGGTTTGCAACGGAGTTTCAAGCACCAGCCTGGCTCAGTGGTAGAACATTGGGCTAGTGCACAGGGACCCGGGTTCAAATCTTATTGTCTCTTTGGTGCTTAATTTTATTCACTTTCATTTCACTTGATAGCGGTTACGGACACCGGCAGCGGCTGACAACTAGGGCTCCAAAAAACGACCCTTGCTGTGATCTCGTAATAGCTTTCGCTGTGAAATGAATGATTTCACCGTAGCGGGCACTTAACCGTACTTGCAGTAGGCCTTCTGACACGGCCATGTTACGCGCGCAGTCGTTCGTTTCCTTGAGGCCCGACCAGACGCGCCCGTTGCAGCAAGTGGAATTCTGACGCGCCGCCGTGCCCTCTCCGTATAAAGAGTGGGCGCGCAGCTTCGCGTTGCCATGCGCCTTCTCCCTCTGTGGAGAGAAGGCGCGGCGCAGCGTTGGAAAGCCCCGCGCTGACGCACTGCGACGAGCACGTGTGGTCAGGCCTTTACGGCACTATGGTCCCTATAATATTTTAGGGACCGCACGGCCGAGACAAGCGTAACAAGGCGATGCGCACGAGGCCCGACATACGCTATGGCGTTTGACTCTTGACGGCGAAGGTCACGCGTCCTCAAAGATTTCCTGGTATCCTTAAATTTCTCGCGTTATCTGAGTGACGAACACAGTTACATAACATAGATCCATCACCAGGCTCCAACCCAAATAAGAACGATCTTCACATGACAAAATAAAGATACTTCAAAAAACAAACAAAGAAAACATTGTGGTTATCTCGACTACTCGAATTTAGATAACTAACCGCTTTATTAACCAATCGTCAACCCCGGAAGAATTCGCTCTTCCCGCCAGAACAAAGTGAAATCAGTGCATTTGATGTGCCAACATGACAGAAAACACAGCAGTTATCGATCGGCCACTGTAGCACTGCATGCTTGCTAATGCTAGCTAACTGGTTGTGCCCCTTTATTAAAAACTGCAATTAAAAAATTCGGTGAGCGTTCACAAATTCCGCTTTGACAGTTCACCTTACAAAAAATCAACTTGGATTTTACTGCCTTCGCCGAGGCCACTCAGCCAAGCTACATGTACGAACATTAACCCAGAAAAGCTGGCGGCGAGACGGCCTTAATGGTGACAGTCTTCGTGTTGGCATGCAGTACGTTACAAGCATGGTCGTCGGCAGGATTTTACCTTGGCGGAGGGCGGGGGGGGGTGAAAATCAGTGTTGCCTCGCGTCTGGAAGAGATCAGTGGTGTAGCTCGGGTGAGAACAAGTGCTGGTGAGGGAGTGCAAAAGCAAGTGCCCCTTTTGAACACCCATGATTACGGGTCATGCAGTGGTCGTAGGCTGCGCGCTGCTGCCAGATACAATGAAGCTGTACTAATCAATATCGTGGCCATTTCTTTTGTCTACAACTTACTTAGATCTCAAGCGTATCTGCAAGCGCAATCGGAAAGGTATCTATTCCCTGCTTTTAGACGGCCTCATGGCAGTAACCGCTTGCACATATTCCTGCCAATTATTATTTGGTTTGAGTCGATAGAAAACACGAAGACAGAGGAAATAGGGAGGGAACATGCTGACAACTGCCACCTATAGGGGCACAACGCCTGCCAGCTCCTTCGGGACGGGGAGGCATAAAAGAAATAAGGGAAGAAAGAAGGAGAGAGAGAGAAGAGGAAAGTTTAAAAAAGAGAAAAAAAAGCGCACACGCAAAAAAATAGTCACATGAAGAATGTCCCTAAACGTAAAGTTAAGTCTGTTTTCGTTAAGAACGTTAAAAGGGATCTGCGAGCCTGGTCACGCCTAGAAGCACATCTTCCTGGGAAGAAGCAATCATCAAGGGTCGTGCAAGTCCAATTATTGAATGGTCCTTTTTGAGTAGTACTCGCTGCACAACGAATTTAGGGCACTCTAAAATGACCTGTCTCACAGGAGCCACACGACGAACATATCGGACTGTCAGCACGTCCTTGACAGTATAATCGTTCACGCACCAACTCTTAGCTTGTATAACAGGGCTCTGTCACGACGACTCCTCGACCAAGAAACGATCCGCTTGCGACACGCTGGTCAGGATGATGCTTTAGAAGATCTCGGTGAATCAGCAGACGAGCGTTGTCAAACCAGCATGAAATTTCTTGGCAGCCACACTAGTTGTGGGCACAAGTTAAAGCAATGAGATCGACCTTTTCGTTCCCAGGAATACCACCATGCGAAGGTATCCACTGGCAAATTAGGACACCCCACGAGTAATAAGTTTTGTGGCAGATTTAACAATGCTGCATATAATTGGGCCAATGGAGTATTTTCTCAACAATCTGCTAAGGGCAGCACGGGAATCTAAGTACGACAACCTTCAATTCTTCTAATTCAGTGCAACATCAATCGCAGCTAGTTCTGCAGTCCTTGGAAGTGGATGGATGCAGTTTAAGAAACAACCATCGGACGTTAGTAGAAGGGCAAAAGAAAGCTGCAGAGCCTCCTTGGCAGTCATTGTATATAGATGCGTCAGTGAATACTTGAAGATGACTGTCAAAATTTTCAAACAGATGCGACTGGGCCCATTCAAATAGTGCCAAAACAGGCTGGTCCGCCTTTTTGAGTGTTCCGGGAATGGAAAGATAAATGGGGAAGATGCATTTGTTGCGCCCCTTAAGACAATGAAAGAAGTAGGATCTGCCAAACTGCACGTAATTATGGTAAACAATGCTGCCATTTTCCCCATGTGAGAGCTTTCATGCTGAAAGAGGCGATTAATAAGTGCATTACAATCTGGAGCTCTGTACATGCGCTCGATATGGTGCAGCGCTCTCTCCTCAGCCTGCAGCCTCAGGGGCAACTGGTGCGCTTCGGCGAGTAGGGGAACAGATTGTGCATCACGAGATAAGCCTAGTATTATTCGGAGAGCAACACGATGGTCCCGTTCCAGTTGAGACATCAAACTTGACGGCACATCCAGAATAGGCAAGGCGTACATCAGGCCAGAGAGCACAGCTGATTGATACACCTGTAGTTCTGTCGTCTGGTCACAGCCAGCGCCCCTAGCAGTCAATGCAGCTACATATTTTAGGTGCGAATGTGATTTCTGCCTCGCGGAGATAATCGCATACAGGAGGTCATCGATGATTACCCCCATGTAGCGATGTTGTACCCACACAAGTGGTGTGTCGCCAATGTACAGCATGCTCGTGCTCCTTCGAGCACGTTGCCTTGGATGATAAGCAATGACGGCATAGACAAACTATAGACCTGAAATCTATAGACGAACTTCTAGGTATTCTGTAGCCGTATGAAGCGCTCCGATTCCGCGAAACGCGGGCCCTGATGGGAAAGACCACTGATCCACAGTGCGATGTTGGCATAAATTGCTGCGCCCATTGGGAACTCCTACTCTTGAGGTAATCAGCTTGGCAGTCCAGCAAGCACGCTGTTGAACAGAAGCGGCGATAAAACGCTGCCTTGGGGGACACCGCACTTTTCGAAAGCCAACTTCACCCATCCCGGTGAAGCCAATATTAAGACCCCACACACGCGTCGAGATAGCCATCTGCAACGCCACTCGCCTTTCGATCTAGTCATTGGGGTGGTAGTAAATGCATACCGTACTTCAACCTAACTACCTACCTTCCTCCCTACTTGCCTACCTTTGGCAGTCTTCCACCCTTTACCTCACAGCGACCGACGGGGTCGATATATTGCCGGCCCCATTTTTCGGTACCCAACAATGTTTCGCGGAAAGGTGCGAGTTTAATTGTCCCCTAGCAGAGGACGACACTCTTGAAAAGGGCATGCATGAAGTATAATTTGTGCTTTTGCAATACCCACAACTAAAAAAAAAAAAGCAGGCCATGAAGAGTAGTCTTTGTACTCTATTTATTGAAAGATTCTGGTCATTCTAATCCACATTTGCACAGCTCAAATAAATGCGTCCATAATGGAACCCGAAATCTCAAAAACACAACGTGCTTTCTCTGCACACGTTTTAAAAGTAGTAACCTTTTGTAAAAGCACTTTTCACATAGAAGAGGCAAGCACAGGCAGCAGAGATAAGCTAAATTACGAAACGAGCTGGCAACAAGATTCACCTACAATGCTATTTACAAGCCACAAACTGCAAGCAAATCCGGGGGCCCACATCACAATCGCAAGCTTTGACAAAACAGTGTGTGAGCATCATGCTGCGCTAATACCACTTCAAATGGATTTTCTTGAAGCGAGTAAACAAATGCTATGACATGCCTGGAACTCAATACTTATTAAAAGTGGAGGAAAACAAAGGCAGTGCTAAACAGCACCCATAACAAAAAAAAAAAACTGGATGTACATAACTGTTGAGTTTGGCACATGTCAATAAAACACGCAAGAAACTGCTATACTGACCTCATGCAGAAAAATAAAACTTGCTGAAACAAAATGAAATGGCAACAATGAATATTATGGATGGTATATTGCATATATTTTAACACAGGTAATTTAAGTGCATCACATGACTGCGGAGCATCATCTTTCGCATACTTACACACAGGCAGTTCAACTGCATAACATGGAACAGATCTGCTTTTTCTGCTACCACAAGTTACATCTGAAATTGAAGCCGTTTTACTTTATACCTGTTCTTGGAATGTCCTACAATAAGCTAATTCCAAAATTATTCCTAACCATGGGCCAACTGGAAGCCCTACACATAAACTGCACACACACACACGCATACATACAATAAAAAAAAATATCACAAGAAGATCAAAGTGCAGGACACTGCAAGGAGATTACCACATGACAACATTCTTTAAAATCAACTGTACAAGTGACAAGACATCCAGTGGCAAAGTACTTAAAATGAACTAAAATCAAATGTTAAGAGACAAAATGCTTAAAAAATGGCATCCTGTAGTTGATAGCACCTTTCAAACCAATATATGCCACATTTAAGAAAACAATACAGCTCGTAAAATGCTTCTTTATGACTAGTCAACCCCCCATACCCATTGAAGAATGCGCTGACATTTCGAGTGCACCAGAAGAATGCACCATTTGACTCAAAAATGATTTCCTGCTAAGAACTGTAGTGCCATGATGGTTAAGACAAAAGCTACCACTAAATAGTGCAGCACGAAGTGCTACCAGCAAAATTTGCACTAAGAGACAATGAGATTACACATGAATGTCATGACATGAGATGTGTCATGGTAATATTCTTTTCCACATGCAGGGCTGACAGGGCAGTAACCACCCAAGAGAGCAAGTGTGATCTCACTGGTAGTGTTACTGAGGCTCTTGGATACAACCAGCACCTAAGCCAAACAAGGCACCTGTGATTGCTTTATGTTGATTCCTCTGCTCGTAGTACCAACGTGGCACCAAGTTGAACATTTTTGCAACCATTCTCTACAACACATGCATCACATACATAGCATGCTCCCATATTCTCTTGCTCATGCTAAGCAGTTTAAGTGTGCAAGAACGAGTACCCTGGGCTGTAGTTCCAGCACAGTTATTTCCAATGGCGGTAAAAGCCTGAAGCCCTGCAGCAAGAGTGGCAATTTGGGTATATTTTAACATGGTGTCCAATAAATAGTCTCTCACGACAGACCGCAGTATAGTGAAGGCTCAGTATTGCTGTCTCAAGGGTTTTACGGAGCTTTATCCTTCTTCGTGCGTACAGCAACAGCTGCCACCAAGGCTGCACCGCGGCCACTTCCGTCTTCAGAGAGCATCAGGTCAAACTGAAATGGAAGTGAAACCAGAAAATTTATGCAGAGCTGCACTACAGCGAACAACAGTGCAAGCACCCCCTGCACATCCAGACTTCACAATCAGGCACTAATAATATTTTACAGCTGTTCCTAGCAGCACTGAGTGTTTATACTACTTACACCAAGAAAATGTGGTCAACCAGCAGCAACCCAATGTAAAATGCAGATGTCGCTCATTGCAAAAGAAAGAAAATTTGCAGTGCCACATATACAAGCGCCAGTGATATCAGTGCACGGCACAGAGAATAAGTTGCAAACCTGGTTCCCAGCCTCTGTCTATTACCGTATTTACTCGATTCTACCGCGCCCTCAATTGTAACGCGCACCCGATTTCCACCGCGGAAAAAAAAAAAAATGTACGACATCGCTTGCAACGCGCACCCATTTTTCTCGCTGGCCCGCACGATCACACCACTCGAAAAAACGACTCCTTTCGGGAGAGTCTTCCATTTAAATATGAGGTTCGGGCGAAGCTTGTGGCCATCTGACGTGTAACAGAGCATTGCCGTCACTGTAGTTTTACCGTGGACCGATGTCAGCACGCGAACTTGCTCCACCCCCTTCTTCTCGACGGTTGTGGTGCCAGGCATGTCGACGTAAAGAGGCGTCTGATCGGCATTCCCGATTTGCTCAAGCAGGTAGCCGTTGTTGCGCCGCAAGTTTAGGACGAACCTCTGAAAACTGTGAAGCTTTTCATCGTACTCCTCCGCAAAACTTTTCACATATGCATGTTCCCCTTCGGAGGGAAAAGCCTTTCCTCTTCATAAATTTAGTTAGCCAGCACCTGCTCGCTTTAAACTGGCTCCGCATTAGACCTTTTTCTAAGACTAATTGCATAGCCCGCACTTGGAGCAGTTCTGCCGTCACGGGCCGCTGTGCCGCTCGCTGCTCAAGCACATACTCGCCGAGCAGCTATTCAATTTGCGGAAACCGACCCTGCTGTGGTCCACTGAAGCCTTTGCGTGAAGCTTTGCTGTCGACAATCTTCTGCTTTTGTTTCCGCCGGTCCCGCACGCACGTTTCGGGAACTTCGAATGACCCCAATGCGGCCCGATTTCCGTCCGTTTCTGCACACGCGATAACTTTTCTTTTAAAAGCGGCATCGTGGTGCACTCGAGTTTTTGGAGTCGGCCCTTCCACGCCGTCGATGCTAATGCACTACTAGATGACGAACACCTCAGCACACGTACGAAGTGCCGCACATGGGAAACACATAGGCAGAAATGGCCGATGCGCCATGCCGACGCACGTAGAGGGCGGCCATTTTGGATTTGCTGATGGCAATAGATTAACCGCAATTTTTTTGTTCGTACTCGATTCTAACGCGCATGCGATTTATGAACTCGCTTAATCGGAAAAAAAGGTGCGCGTTAGATTCGAGTAATTACGGTATATAAATATTGTTCTGAAGCTAGTAAAAAATGAATTTATCATCAGTGAAACTCTAGCATTAGCACTACTTTAATACAAGTGAGCAAAAATTATTTATTTCATTGAAATTTACTGAAAAACTGCCACATTTGTGGGTGCACAAGTTTCAATTTCTTCCAAAATATTGTGCAAGGCACGCGAAACACCGCAATACCAAGAGCAATTTCCAATGTCTTTACTGACAAATGCTGCAGTACTGGAACAAAGTTTTGTACATGTGTATATGGTATACAACAGCTACGCCACCTTGTTTTGCTGTCAAACTTGGGAAGTAGCAGAATTACCCAAGGTCCATTGTGCAACTTTTCTCCTGTAGCCCGAGCCAGTTATGTACATTTGCGCTTAAGAGTTGCAACACACTGGCTGTGGTTAACATTGGCCAGAGTCGTTCAGGCTTGAGGTCATATTAAGTTAGCTAAGAAATTACCGTTAATTGGGAAAGTTGAATTCATTTTCTTTTTTTTTTTATGTTCATGCCATTTTCCAGTCTTGGCATTATTTTGAGTACAGAAAGCGTGTTGTGAATCATACTATACACCTCTGTACTTGAGTGGTGAAATGACCTTGCATATGCCCTAAGTGTGGCAATTGCTCAGTTTCTATAAGCAGTCTTTTTCTATTGATAAGCAAAGATTGCTTCAAAAATATGCACATTCAAACTAACGGACACCTTCATAGTGTGCCTACGGTCGTATATACGAGGTCTGTTAGAAAAGTATTAGACCTTTTTTTTTTGCAAGCACCTAATTAATTTAAAACAAGTGCGCTTGCATCATCCAACCTTGAACCTTTGTGCGCATGCGTGAATTTTTTCCCACCTGCCAATAGCGTGAGTCGCTGGGACGCAGCGTTTGAGTGAGCTAGTGCGCGGTTCTCTCGTCCGTTTTTCTTTGCTAGGAAAATGACGGAGCGACTGGCCCACTGCTACTGCCTCAAACTTAGCCATAAACTGAACGAAAGCCAAGTGGAAACCATTATAAAGATCAAGACTGCTTTCAGTGACAGCGCTACGAGCCACACACATATCAAGGAGTGGTACAACTGGTTCAAAGACGGCCGCACATTAATAGAGAGCGGGCCATGTTCCGGTCGGCCATCAACATGCCGAAATAACCAGGCCATTGCCAAAGTGAACGCTGTGGTGGTGCGGCACCGTCATGTGACTACCAGAGAAATTGCGCAAGAAATGGGCATCGGCACTTTCTCTGTACATTCAATTATGACCGAAGATATGGCCATGAAGACAGTTGCGGTGAAATTCGTGCCGAAACTGTTCACAGTGGAGCAAAAGCAACTTCTTATTGAAGTCTCACAGGACATGAAAACAGTTGCATAAAGACCTCCCCCATCGTGATGCTGTCCTGTGGCGCAAACTTCAGATGGGTGTCTTTCCCAAACCCTGGCTTTGCAGCAAGGTATGCCCACACCTCGGAACACTACACTGTAGATACTGCTCACAATCTGCCACCCTCATACATATAGCATGGACGTGCTCACAGTACGTTGACGTCACACCCAGAAGATACATGGGAGTTCCTTCTGCGTACCACCGACTCAGCACAGCAACGCCAAACAATCTCGCGCGCATTGGAAGCCGCGGAGTCCCAAGAGATCCATCCCCCCTGACCTCCTCTAAGCAGCGTAACCGACCTCTCGGCCAGTCGGCCAGTCACCTCTATAGGGAGAAATAAAGTTTCGATCATTGTCATCATCACAGGACATGCTGGATTTCACAAGCAGTGATCCAAGCTTCATGAACACCATGACGAGTCTTGGGTGTATGGGTACAGCCTGGAAACCAAATCCCAGTGGTCACAGCGGAAGCATTGCACGTCAAAGTGATGCCGAGTGCTTTCTTTCACTCCCGCAGCCTGGTACACCATGATTACACACCACAGGGTCAATCAATCACCAAACAGTACAACAGGAATGTTCTCCATCGCCTACATGACGCTGTGCGGTGCAAGAGACCCTAGTTGTAGTCAACAGGATCCATCACGCATCCATCACGACAATGCTTCTGCACGTTCCTCACACTTAGTTCAGACTTTTTTGGCGAAAAGCCAGACTCCTGTAGTTCAATAGGCTTCTTACTCTCCTGATATGGCCCCCTGCGACTCCTGGCTGTTTCCCAAACTGAAGAGGACATTAAAAAGAGAGCGATTTCAGACAAGGGAGGATATTATGTCTGCAACGACAGCCAAGCTAAACTCCATTTTGAAAAAGGCCTCCTCAGAATGCTTCCAACAATAGCAGCACCGCTGGGGAGAAGTGTGTGGAGTCCCAAAGGGACTACTATGAGGGAGATTAGGTTTCCGACGCTCCAACAATACCAGTTTTGTTTCTTTAGTCAAAAGTCTGATAGTTTTCCAATATCCCTGTGCAGCCAAAACCTCGTAACAAATCTTAAGATGTGATTTCATTAAATGAGCAATTTATACTGACATAAATTGCTAGTGCATGAAGTGAGTGCTGAAAGATAGAACACAACCTTCACAATTAGGTACTCATACAACCTCTTCACTTAGATGAGCTTCCTTAAGAAATTGACTCGCCTCAATATAGGAGCTAGAAGCTGAACCTACTCTTGTGTGATGTGCACTGATTGCATGTGCAGCAGGTGATACCAAGCAGATGGAATGACCTCTGCATTAGGGGATATTTATGATACTTGGTAATGTTTTTTTTTTTCAAGAGCACCATTGCAGAATTGTCTGCAAGCAGCTCCCCAAGGAGCGGCCCCAAGCAGCAGTCATTGGCGCAGCTTTCATACCAAAACATGCAATCGTTTCCTTCAAAATAAAGCGCTTAATAGTCAGCGGACCTCACTCTGCTACCAAAAAATAAAAAAGGACACAATGTCATAATTCTGCACGTTTAAAAAACTAAAGTAGAGGCAGCTGCAAAAGACTCACTACTTCGCAAAGCCGAACTGTTGTTCTCCGGTCGCGTGCGCTTCAGATCGGAGGTAGACATTCAAGGAAAGTGTTCATTTCCAAGGCTAGGTAATTGACAGACTTCTAACATAACCTTTTTACTGCAATACATCTCCAATTATAAATACATGTCAGATATTAAAACCATGTTGTTTCTGCGTGACCTGTGTAACGCTGTGCTACTTTTCTGGGCTCATTTTCAGGTCACAAGTATCGCTACACACTTTGCAGTAGTGTGCTTCATAGCTTTTCTGAAGAAGTCCGGCATGGACATCTGCATGAGTGGTGCAGCACAAAAGAAAGACTGATGATGTATTTCCATGATCAACTGTACACAAAAGAGCAGCCCGAGTACGCAGAGCTAATAATATTATCTGGGGTTTTACGTCCCAAAATCGCGATATGATTACGTGGGACACCGTAGCGGGGGGCTCTGGAAATTTCGACCATCTGGTGTTCTTTAATGTGCACCGACATTGCACAGTACACAGGTCTCTACCATTCCGCCTGTATCCAAATGCGACCGCCACAGCCAGGATCGAACCCACGACTTTAGAGTCAGCAGCCAAGCACCTTAAACACTGTTTTTCAAAGGCGGACCGAGTACGTAGTGCTAGCTGACAGCACACCGGCTGTTTTGTCATGCTTTGTGGACATAATCCGTCATGCAGATTAAGTATTGTCGTTCTGGTTTCCTTGAACACACTATACATGTGCTTCCCTTGACACATCTTTTAAAGGGCCATTAGACAACGTCGTGGTGCAACATTTTTTAATGGAAAAATAACTGCACACTTGTACTATGTGAACATGCTGCCGCAAGAATTTTACAAATAAGCACTGCAAAAAGGATGTTGCATGGTGTAGAATGATTTGGCCATTTCAGTTTTTTGCTCGTCCTCCCCAGCCTTTCCTAGCAGCAGACATGGGTAGGTGTAGCTCTGTCTTGACTACACTCCCTTCGACAACGTAGGATATAACTTCTGTAATTATGTCATCGGCACACAGCAAATGACCGAGAAAAGATTCCTCCACATGCGCACGCGTCCTGTGAGTGTGGGGAGCAAGCGCAGTGCAAGGAGTAAGAGCCACTGGCGAGGCATGCATTGTTTCCATAATGGAAGAGTAATAACACACCGCTCTATCTCAGAGACTTTTGTTCTGGCAATATCACTTGCCCCGGTAGTCCGAAGGCTCTATGAAATGGCAAAGGGCAACGCAGGAAAACGAAAACGCAGACTGCGTGGCCTTAACTGCATCACCACAAGGCTGAGGCACTGTTTTGTAGTGCAAAGGGCCAATCGACAAGCTCACTAGTACATAATGCTACCCAGGGGTAAGATTTTGTCACCAAGCGTGCCAAGAGGACTGGACCAGCATAAAAAGTGCCGCAGGATTTGTTTTTTGAATGGGTGGGTAAAGTTGAGTGGGATACTCTATCGATCAAACAGCTAAATTTGCTCTACGAGTTTCACAACTCTTACCTCCAACATTTGTGCGGTGCACACTGGCAGTCTAAATGAACAAAACAAAAAATTCACAATTACGATACTGCCTAATGCAAATTTTAAATGACAGCTACTTGAGCATTTTGATTTCCAAGTAAGTTGAGGCAAGTGCTTCAGCTTCGGCAGTGTGCACCTCCAAATTCTAGTGTTAGTGGCATTGACACTCTGGTCAGACAGCTCGTTTGGCAACAGCAGCCGACGACGCACTTCCACCAGTTGCATCGCTCATTGTTTAAAAGAACTGGCTAAGACTATTTCGTACATCGGTAACAATTTACATTAAGAGAATGCCGCAAGTATTGTGTCTGGGGCGAACAATTTCTTAGAGCCCTCTTCACAACACAGACAGAGTGTAGCATGACTGCCTTGCTAACCTAACCGGGAGACACTCCAGAAGGCAGCACGTGGGCATGTTCCACAACAGCTGATGCACGAGTGTGTGCATTACCGTTGCGCTGCTGAACCATCATCTTGCCACGGTCATTCCCTCTGCCACCTGCTCACCTAGTCTTTCATCCTACGCTGCGCCCTGTGTTCCCTCTCCTTCACTCTGCCAGTTATGCCCACGCCCTCCCCGCAAACAAAGTTTTATATAAAATGACAAAAGATGAGGGATACAGGAGCGCACAGTGAAGGGCCGATGCGCCAGGCAGGCTAAGTACTTCGGAATACATTGCTTTGAGAAGCTTGCCCAGAGATGCTCGTTAGTGCCTTTGCAATGATCCAAGTCTCGTGTGGCAGTACTGATTTTCTGTGAACGTGTGCAGTGGTGTTTGTGGCACAAATTTTTAACACATGTGCTTGTCAGCTTAAATTATTGACGGAGCCTTGCACTAGTTTATATGCATAAATCATCGCTTTCATGGATCTACAACACCGACAAGCAAGTGTTGATCAATCTTCCTCTCTCGCGCATGTATAACCATGACCTTCTGTTTGAAATTGCATTTATAGTAATTTTGTTCTGCTTGTCCAGCTAATACTGCATGCGAGCTACCTAAAAGCATGGTGAAATAAAAGCCAAGCTTGGAGGGCGGTGATTTCCGAACAAAAGAACAGCGCAGATTACGAATTCGTGTTAGTTCTTTTCTTCGTTTTTCATCATTAAGATAACCAATATTTGAATTAAATGCAGTCACCTCGTTAACAGCATTGCCATGGCTACCTGGTTGCTTGAACAGCCAAAGTATTGGAAATTCATCGAAGAACAAAAGAGAAACACCAGCAGCTAGCACTTTAAAAGGGCCCCGAAAAACTTTTTCAAGTAACCACAGAATAAACTCACTGGAAGAGCTTATTGCCTCATGAATTCAATGCCACAAAAATTTCAAAAATCCCTCTAGTGCGAGTGGAGCTACAAAGATTTGTCGCATACCGCAATTGCATTCTCTCTTCTATCGTCCCGACAAAAGCGCTGGAAGCTAAGCAGGGAGAGATAGCAGAAGCAAAGAGAACATGTCAGGAATGCCTCGCGACCTTGAGCACTTTTTTTTTTTTTTTTTCAAATGCACGGCTTTTTCAGCGTGATCGCGCTCGCACGCATGGACAAGTCACTGCCTCCAGCGGCGATCATTATAACGACCGAGCGCGCCATGTTCAAATCAGTTAATGGCTGATCGATGGCCTTTCACGAGCGGTTTTTGAGAATCTTCAGTTATTTCTTGAGAGAAGAGAAAGCAATTTTTAGATGACTGATAAGTTATTGTGAATTCCAGGCCGCATGCTGCGCTATCGGGAGCCGTACCGATCGGCCACGTTTTCTGAACATGCTCGAAAAGTGTTTCAGGGCACCCGTGAAGACTACGATTTGTGGATGGTTTTATTTTCGCACCCAGCAAAAGATGGTGGATTTAGCCTACGAGCTCGTCGACAGATGACTCTGCACATATTGAATACCCTCTATTGTATGGTCATATGCCCACCAACTGCTATGGTATCGAAATGAGACTCTCAGTACATTCGAAATATGGATGTACACATGGTATTAAATTGCAATGGTGATAGACTTATCTTAGATGTTCCATAATGCAATATTTGAAGCAATGATATTTAGAGGGACGAGTAAAAATAGCTGGTGAACAACATAATGGCCAAAAAATAAAATTGTATTTCATTAAAGATAGAATCAATTTTTGACAGAAAGTTTTAGCAGAAAAAATGAACTCCAAAAAGAACTTTCATGTGAGAACACTGAATATGCAGAATCTCTCTCTCTCCCCCCATGCATGCACAAATGCATGTGCACACACACACAAACGTGCATGCATACACACACACACACCACACACACACACACACACACACACACACACACACACACACACACACACACCTATACGTACACACACACACCACCAGGGTTGATGCTTATTTACACGACCAAAATTCAAAGATCTTCAAGGACGTTGAAGGCTACATGTACAAATCTTCAAGGTCCACATTTAACACATGTTTTTATCGAAACAAGGTAAATCACTGCAGCAAACATCAAACACATGGCTCCAATGATATTTTCTTTCTAGACAGCTTTCAATCATAGTTTCTTAAAGTTGCAGAGGTAATCACTTTCAGTACGACACAAGCTGCACACTTTTATTCATATAGGAAAAACTAAGGAACATCTATTATGCATGCCTTGGTTTTTCTGACTTTTCAAATAAATATCCCCCATCTCCTGCTGCTTGGTCATGGCAGTCTTCCTAAAGCTGTTGGACATGATGATACACGTCAGGTCACTAATTGTCGCTGTATTTTCTTCATACGAGTCAGTTGTAGCTGTTAATACTTTTAACAAAAGCTTCCAGTTCCTTTTCCTCTTTTTTAGAAATTCGACCTTCCCACATCGCTTTCTGTTCCTCATGCTCCTGCCTTTTCAGAGTTTCCAGGTATGCACAGTATTGGTTCAGTGCAGAAGCTACTGATGTTCTCAATCCTTTTTTGCGATAGGCATATTACATATGCCACCCGCTAAACTTCCTGCATCACAAATAATGCACTGTGAAATGTGCAATTTTTTCAAAAAAAAGTAAATTCAAGAATTTACAAAATTTGCGAAAGTTCTAGCACTTTTAAAACCTTGAAAATGAACTTTTAAAATTCAAGGGTTTTCAAGAATTACAAGAAGTCGGATGAACCCTGGCACACAGAGAAAGACAGGCAGCCAGAAAGGCTGGCAGAGAAAGAGAACAGTTCTAATTTCATTTATGAAATAAACCTTACCTTATACTGAGGATTGGCCAGTTCAGCGATTTTTGCCTCCATAAGATTGTGGAATCTGGGGTGGTACCGATACACTGAGCCATCAACACCGACAGTGGTGTGGGGTCGCTTCATCTTGTTAAGGATGGTGGCCACAGCTGCCGACACCAGATGGGCTGCACGCGACGACACACGAGCACAGATGAGCTTGAGACATTCACAGTCTTCATCCGTGCCAACCATGCCCATCTTGACCATTACGCTGTGGGCTTCATCATAGACACCTCGGGGGTCACTGCACACATGCAATAAGTCGTGGTTAGTCATGCCCATGTAGTGCTGCAACAGATCTCACTAGAAGACGATGACTAATAAACATGGCACTTTCAGGCTCAACAGGAAAAAGCAACTATGTAGTCAAGATGTGCTGCCACTGAACACGAAGAAGCGCGTCAGTGATACATAGGGCACTTTCCAAGCACAAAAGGCGAGCACGCACCAATTATGTAAATTGCACATAGTATATCCTGGTATCCGAGGTTGACAACTGGACAGTCCTAAACATTTATGAACGCTTGAAACCTACAAAGCAGCTTTTTTTTTTATTACTTCACTTCGTTTCAAGTTCCTGGGTAAATGCCTTTTGCCTTTACTGAATGACAAGCAGCAAACTTCATTTTTTAGGTAACAGCAGAAAGAGTGGACATGGGAAGAAGCTCAACAGACTACTCTCAAAGCATGGTCAGAGGATGAAACAGATTGTAAAGTCGCCAGTTGCACTAGTGTCGCACAGGTAAAGTAAAAAGAAATGAAATGTACGCCCTCTGCATCTGATGTTTAATGTACATACATAGGTCTCATGAACCCAATAAGAGACTTGGAGCTTTTTTGGTGTATAGTGCCCATTTTGTTGAAAACTAGACACTTCCTTGAGTGATTTAGTTTTTTAGGCATAACCTGACAGCGTTTTTCAAGCTTTGACTACTTTGCACAGTAAGCTTTCAAGAACTCTTGGTAAACAGTATTGCAGCACACTTGAAAAAATAACTGTGGACAAGATAGTGCACAGAAAATTGTGCGTCAATGACTTATTGTTCCAATTTAATTTGTTAGCCTAAAAGACATTTAAACTACCCAAGCACTCCCATAAAATATTAGGTCAGCCGGCTTAATTTCCTACCATTTGCTACTCCAATGTGCTTAAAGCAAGCATGAACTATGTTTTACAACCTATAAAATTAACCACAAAGACGATTTCAGGCAGGGATGACTGCAATATGAACACCTGAATGGTTAAAGAAACCACCACTAGAATGTACGTAAAAAGATAGAGCCCCAGAACAATTCTCTCAGTCAATTAAAAGGGTGCAATTTTCAAATGAGCTGCTAACATGTTTTTAATTAACTATAAATGTCAGAATCTGGCGATCATCTTCCTTCGAGTTTGGAAGATTTAGTGAAAAGCGGCCAAATAAAAACCACTGGTCAGGAGAGGCACAGAGGACCAAGTTACAAGAGCACCATACTGATGTCATTCACACAATCATGGCCAATTCAAACTTACGCTTGCCAGATATAGTCACCAGTACTTGCACAATATTTGACATTTTTAAAACGGCATGAGCTTTCTAGCAATTTAATATTGCCGTCTAAAATAGAATGTGCTTCACCTTTCAATCTGAGAAATGTACTTCGTCTTAAAGAGATATGGGGTCTTCATTTTTTCAGAAAGTTTTGAGCTGAACATCAAGTTTTCCTCGGCAAGGTGTACCAAGATACGACGGACAAGCTCCCCCATGTACATGCCAGAGATCATCTTCTCAAACCTAGATGTGGAAAAAAGAAAAAGAAAAGAGAAATGAGCAATGTAAACAAGGGCAACATGTAAAACAACTTCTTTGGCTGGCCACCATTACTTACAGCTGCCTTCCAGGGTTGAGTGAAGCCGAATCAATTTCTCTGTCATAACGTGTTCGCACAAATTCCAAGGAGCCATGGTCACCAAATGCACCCCACTCTGTGTTGATGATGACTTGTCGAGGTTCGTCATTGTCTCCATCCCAGAGTTGCACATTTTCAATTTTCTCCATATAACATGCGTTCGTTCCAGTTCCTAGCAGCACAGAATGACAGCGTGAGCAAAGCAATTTAAACTATGAAGCCAGGAAAGCAGTCTCGTTTAAAGTGATGCTTCTAAATAAGAGAGCATCATCTAGACTAGAACATGACAATCCAATGCCCTTCCTTTACTCTAAATCCTGAGACAGTACGATGCTCATGCTAGATACCAAAACGAGTGAAATTTATGGGGACCGTGCAACATTTAAAGGTGGTATGGTGGACTTCAGTGGCAGAAATGTTATTGAATAAGCTTACGTTGCTCATTGTGCAACCATTTGCAGCATGCCATACTAGCCTGCACTCTGTCGTCAGAATCATAAGAGATAGTTGCTCAGGGGATGAAATGTCGACAAATAAAGTCTAGAGAACTATGTATATGGTTTCTCAGACTCGTATGGACAGAGGATCACAAACTCCAATTTCAAAATGCACATGCCTATGAACCTGCACACAGTTATAACATTCCAGTAACTGTTCTTGTTTATTGTTGATCTTCTAACCATGCACGTCTTGTCTGACATGCTCGCTCAGTTAAACATAAAGGGTGGACAAAATTTGTACAGTTTCATCATGCTGTTCATGCTACATATCTTAATTCCGACATTACAAGGATCAACTATGTCACTTCTTGGTCAACTGCATCAGAGAAAGAAGTGTTCACATATCCCAGCGCCCCAGATATGCGGACATTAGTATGCATACAAAGGGTTCATACCAGCCAAGCTTTTAGAATGAAGATGAAAAATAGCAAACCCCACAATGTTAAATGGGGTCTCCAAAGATAAACAAGACAAAAAGCAAATGAACTTGTTAAAAGGGCCCTGCAAGACTTTTTTGAGCACGGTCAGAAAACACTGCCGATCGGTAGTAAGGGCACCCAAGAACACGCGAGCTAGATATTATAGCACAGTACACGGCCTGGCATTCACAATAACTTATAAAAGTCGGCTGAAAATTGCATTCTCTTCTCTCAACAAATGACGGAAGACACTGGAAAATCACTCGCAGAAGGCCATCTATCAGCCATTGGCCGATTTGAACATGGCGCGCTCGGTCGTTACAGGGGTAGCCGCGGGAGGCCACGACTTGTCCACACGTGCGCGATCACACTGAAGAAGACGCGTATTCGAGAAAAAAAAAAAAAAAACAGTGCTGAAGGTTACGAGGCACACGTGACTTTTTTTTTCGCCCCTACCGTCCCTCCATGCTTAGATTCCAGGGCTTTCGTCGGGATGAGAGAAGAGACAATGTGCTTGCGGTGTGCGACAAATCTTTCTAGCTCCACTTAAACTGGACGGATTCTTAAAATTTTTGCAGCATTGGATTTATGAGGCAATAAGTTCTTGTAGTGAATCCATTCCATGGTTACTTGAAAAGTGTTTCAGTGCCCCTTTAAGGTGGAAGCCATGCGATCAAAATTTTGCTAAAAAGAGTTAATGGGACTGGAGTTGACCACATGCACCAATGCATGTACAGAATGGGCCCCTGTATGAACTCTCTAATATTTAAACATGCATGCTCTTTTTACAGTGCCCGCTAGTTCTTCATGAATGCACAGCTTGAATAAAAATCGAAAAATTCTCTTCACAAGAGGTAGTTCAAACAGTTAACACAAATTCGTGAATCCCATAACTAAGCTACGGTGTATGCCTGCATTGTGCTTCACTGTATGGCAGCAGCAACACTCTCTCATGCCTTTATTGCACTCCGCATAAGGCTGCCATCATTTCATTGCATGCTCTCCAAGGACGCAAGAATAAAGTGCAGTACGGCTTACCGACAATGAGCCCGAGCCTGCATTCCTTATTTTTGTGAGCACATGACATGAGAGTTCCCGTTGTGTCATTCACTATTGCCATAACATCAATATTGATGTCCTGAAAAAAAAAAAAAAAAAAAAAAAACCTCGTTATTACAAAGCCACAGTCAATGACCACAGCAAAGAGCACCACAAAACTTGTCACATCGACTATAATATAAACATTCTTAACAGAGCTAAGTACTATTTTATGCAGTAGGAACATGTAGCTTATTTTGTATAAAACAAAAACATGTCACAAAGCATTCAAACCCTGCACTATAGTGCTTTTGAGGGCAACCTTCTACGAGGACTTTCAACTCTTTTTTTTAAAGGTTTTCTTTTTGATGATAACTCATGTCTCCAGGAATATAGTTTCTTCCTACAGCCCATGCAACATGCGAAGTTGTTAAAGATGCACATCAAGTTGTGAAGATTGCCAGGTATGACAATGCTAGCAACCCTCAATGAAATTGTTCTTCCGGTAAAAAGGAACACACATCCTCTTTAGCTTGGAGACATAGTATGCAATAGGTTAATGCGCTTCAAGGTGTGCTCCACAAGACTGACTCGCTAAGATTTTTCGTACATCGAACTCACCTCCATCATGTCTGTTTAAGAGACTGCCCTTAAGATGCAAAATGAAGAGTGCCTAAAATTTCGTTGGCACACTACATATTGACTGGATCTGCCTATCTACTCGTCATCCCAGCAGCCCTTCGCACCGAAGTACTGAAAGCATGCCACAACGAGGTTACCTCTGGCCACTTGGGTTACACAAGAACGTTGGCCAGGGTACAGCAAAGGTATTACTGGCCAAGACTAACCACAGCCGTGAAGCACCACGTTCGTACCTGTCTCGACAGCCAGCGACGCAAGTCACCGCCAACTAAACCAGCTGGCCTCCTGCAACCCGTACAGGTCCCAATGACTCCATTCCACCAGATCGGCATGGACATTTTGGGCCAACTCCCTACTTCTACTGCAGGCAACCGATGGGTTATCGTCGCGACGGATTATTTGACCCGTTATGCCGAGACAAAGGCTATCCAGAGAGGTACAGCAGCGGAAGTGGCAAGATTTTTTATCGAGAATATTGTACTGAGGCACGGTGCACCAACCGTCATAATCACAGACAGAGGAACCGCATTTACAGCAGCTCTTTTGGACCATGTTTTGATGCCGAGTGGAACAACGCACCGTAAGACCACAGCATACCACCAACAAACTAACGGGCTGACAGAGCGTCTAAACAAAACCATTGAAGACATGCTTTCGATGTACGTTGACGTCGAACACAAAAATTGGGATACAATCTTGCCTTACATAACGTTTGCATACAACACGGCCAAGCAAGAAACGACCCGCATGACACCTTTCAGCCTTGTTCATGGATGGGAAGTATGAACCATGTTAGATGCAATGTTACTGCACGAAGGCGACGACATCGTCCCGGACGCCGACACGTTTACGGAACGCGCAGAAGAAGCTAGGCAACTTGCATGTTTACGGATCAGCCAGCAGCAAGACTACGATGCAGGCCGCTACAATGCTCACCGCAGAACAGTCGTCTACCAAACTGGCGACAAAGTATGGGTTTGGACGCCCATGCGAAAATGAGGACTTTCGGAAAAACTCTTAAAAAGATACTTTGGACCGTACCTAGTTGTGCGACGACTGAGCAATGTCACTTACGAAGTTGTTCCCGACTGTTCGTATAGTACAAGGCGTCGCCAGCACCATCCTGAACTCGTTCACGTAGTCCGCATGAAACTTTACGTCAGCGAGTGATTGCGTGATACTTTACTTTAGAAAAAAAAAAAAACTGTATTACAGACTGCGCATCGGGGCGATGCTCTTTGAGAGAGAGGCAAATTACGCGTGTCTACATGTGGACGATAACGATGATGGGGCATTTAGTGGGCATGAGGTAGTGAGCCTCTAGCTTCTCTCGAGGCCGAAGAAGACGATCTTGTGGATCAGCTGTTGAGGACACGCTGTTTTCGTCGTCCCAAGGTGTATGTGTTTTATTCGCGTGGTACCACGACAATATGTCACAGTTTGGCTAGCTGAATTATTGTTCACAAGGTGCCCTAAATACTCTTAGTTTAAACTACTGTATACATAGTACTGTTGTCTTCGTTCATACAGCGCTCCGAGATCCCATACTTCATTATCAGCAGATGCGAGTAGTGCCTCATAATTGACATAACTGATGCAAAGAGAAAAGTGACACCCACCTCACGCTTCTTGATTGCTTCCCTCAGCAGACGCACTACATCCTCGTTCTCAACACCACTGCACTTGAAGCCCTTGGTCCATTGAACCAATCTGGCCTTTGTGAGACCCTCTTGTCGACAAGGGAAGCTGAATGTAAAGCCCAGGGGAAGCTTCTTGTCCTTGACTTGATACTTGTCCATAAACTTAGACATGCAGTCAGCTATGTGATCGAACAACTGCAAAGCAAATATGAAAAAAATGAGGATGTCTCACAGCAGCAAAATCCCAATTCACCCCCCCCCCCCTCCCCGATCAGCAGTACTCTTGCTCCTTCAATTGCTGCTCAACAGTGCACAGCTTTCTGCCCACAAGCAAATATAAGTTATACATGCTAGTTTATTCCAGCTAGTACACAGGTAATCTTAAAGATTAGAACAATAAAAAGAAAACTCACTGACCTCTTCGCCAGTTCCAACCATGACTTCTTGAGGAATAGCATAAATTTCGTTCTGCATGCTGAATCTATCGCCATCAATATCGATGAGTAGAACTCTGAAGTTAGTTCCACCCAAATCCAAAGCTAGAAATGTTCCAGTTTCTGCAGTGCACCAAAAGAATCGTGTGAGTGAAGTTTTATATACAGAAGCACTATGTTCATGAATAGCATAGGTAACAGTACATCACTCACCTGAACCATTGGGAACGTCCCTCACGTAGGTAATGAACATTTTGACTTCTGCCGATTTGTGAGTTTCTTTTCCAAGGCCTTTGTTGAATTCATCAAGAAGTTTGGCCGATACTTTTTGCAGTACATCATTGGGGAGCTCAAGGTCACGGGTCATGGCTTCAACCTGCGATAGCAAAAAAAGAATTGAATATATTAGTTCAACCCTCAAAGTACTATTGGTAGTGAACTGCAGTTGCATAAGAGATATATACAAGTAGAGATAAATACAAGTAGAAATCAAGAGGAAGCTATTAAATAACTCTTAAGATTGCTTTCAGTCCGAAGATTGCTTTCAGGCCGTTAAGAATCACTATTATATATTTTCTTCAGCTGGCAGAAATGTCCACCATCAGAGGTAAAGCAGAGACTTGGACAAGCTGGAAATTCAATATTAACCTCACTACACTTTGTAAATGGAATGAGAAAAAGATGAGCGGACAGGGCAGACACCGACGTAAACCAAGTTTAATTTGTCGAACTAACAGAAATATACACACTGGAGTTGAACAAGTAAAACCTGTGCCCAATGTCCTACCTTCTATGTCGCTATGAAGTAACAGCCAGATACTCAATTTTGTTTCTGGTAGGGTCAATGGACGGCGTGCCAATAAAAAGGCCACCCAGCTGCTGTCATGAAAAGCTGATAAACCTTCATGTTGCGACGATGCGGGATCGACGAGCACACATAGCACCTCGAACAAATATATTTTATTGATCACAGGACAAAGACTGCAACGTCTTCTTCGTCTCTGCCCTCGGCCAAAGACACTCGTGCTGCTTCGTTGTCGCCACCACTGGCACATACGCACGTCATTATTCCCCCTTTAAAAAAACACATGGCCCCGACGTTAAACGTTCGAGAAGCAAGGCAAAACCAAAACTGCGCAGCTAGTCACTGAAAGTAAGGCTTAATCCGAAGCACGTGGACAATCTCTGGTGAATGTCTGTGGTGCTTCGAACATTGAACGCCGTCCGGAACAACCTCGTAGTTGACGTCACTGATGCATCGCAGAACATTGTAGGGTTCTAAGTACCTTTGCAACAGCTTTTCGGAGAGCCCACGCCGACAAATAGGGGTCCAGACCCACACTTTGTCGCCCACGTTGTATATGACGGTTCTGTGTCGAAGGTTGTAATGCTTGGAGTCATCGTTTTGTTGTTTGGTAATTCGCAACCTAGCAAGTTGTCTGGCCTCCTCTGGTCACTGGGTGAACTCTTCGGCATCCGTCTAATTACCATTATTTTCATGAGGGAGTATCGCGTCTAACGTTGTCGTAACTTGCGTCCGTAAAGGAGATTGAAGAGTGTCTTCCGAGTGGTCTCCTGACGAGCAGTGTTGTATGCAAACGTGATGTAGAGCAATGCGTCGTCCCAGTTCTTGTGCTCTACATCTATGTAGATGCTTATAATGTCAGCCAGGGTCTTGTTGAGACGTTCGGTAAGCCCGTTAGTCTGGGGATGATATGCCGTTGTCTTCCTATGAGCTGTACCCCTTAGTCGGAAAACGGTGTTCAAAAGCTCAGCCATGAACGCAGTACCTCTGTCGGTGATGACTATTGCGGGAGCACCGTGTCTTAAAACGATAGCTTTGATGAAAAATTGCGCCACTTCAGCTGCCGCTGCGCGTGACAGAGCGCCTGTCTCCGCGTATTGGGTCAGGTAATCTGTGGTGACAATTATCCACCCGTTTCCAGTGGCAGACTTTGGGAAAGGGCCCAGAAAATCCATGCCAATTTGTGTGAACGGTGTTGCCGGCACTTGAACAGGCTGCAGCAAGCCAGCTGGTTTGATGGATGGTGGCTTGCGACGCTGGAAATCTATACATGCTTGCACGTAAGTTTTGACAACTCCGGCAAGTCTTGGCCAGTAATAGTTTTGCCTTATCTTCGCCAATGTTCTTGGGTAACCCAAGTGACATAGAGGTAGGATCATCGTGGCATGCTTGCAGTACCTCACGGTAAAGCGAAGAAGGAACGACGAGCAAGTAGCTGCTGCCAGCGGGTGAAAAGTTCCTATAAAGAATGTCATTCCGCAAGCAGTACGATGGCAGCCCTCTCGAAAATTACTTCGGCACGCTATTCGTTCGCCCTTGTAGGTAATTTATGAGTGGTAGCAGTTCAGGGTCGTCCCGCTGCTGTTGAGAAAAAGGCGGCAGCGTCCACAATGCCCAAAAAGGCCATGTCGTTGTCGTCATACGGCGATGCCGTCTCAACAGGAGATCAAGAAAGGCAGTCTGCATTGGTGTGTCATTTTCCGGACTTGTAGGTAACAGTGAAGTCAAATTTTTGGCGCCGAAGACTCCAGCGTGCAAGACGGACAGATGGATCTTTGAAGTTGATAAACCAACAAAGCGAGGTGGTGATCATAATAACAAGTAATGGGCGGCCGTACAAATAAGGACGCAATTTCAGGACTGCCCACACCATTACAAGACATTCTTACTCTGTCGTAGCATAGTTAGCTTCTGATCGGGACAGTGTTTTGCTGGCGTAGGCGATCACCTTTTCCATGTTGTCCTACTGTACGAGCACTGCTCCAAGACCCACATTACTAGCGTCTGTATGTAGTATTGTTGGCGCAGCTTTATCGAAGTGGGCGAGCATGGGCGGTGTTTGCATGCGCTGACGAAGCTCGTGAAATGCCTGCTGCTAGTCTTCACCCCATGTGAAGGGGATATCTTCCCAAGGAAGCTGTGTCAATGGCCATGCGATGCATGAAAAATTGGCAATAAACCGCTGGTAATAGGCACAGAGTCCCAAAAAATTGTCGCACTAATTTTTTGTCCGATGGCATCGGGAAATTTGCCACACCGGCTATTTTGTCTGGGTCGGGTTGGATCCCTTGGCCGCTCACAATGTGACCGAGGAATTGAAGTTCGTGGAAGCCGAAGTGGCACTTTTCGGGTTTTAGAGTAAGACCGGCCAAGCTTATCGCTTCAAAAACTGCTTCAAGCCTTCTTAAGTGTTCCTCGAAAGTCGTTGAAAAGACAATCACGTTGTCGAGGTACACCAAGCAGGTTTGCCACTAAGTCCTGACAGAACCGTGTCCATCAGACGCTGAAACGTTGCTGGCGCCGAACAGAAACCGAAAGCAAGTACCTGAAATTCATAAAGCCCATAGAGCATAACAAAGGCAGTCTTCTCACGATCTCTCTCATCCACTTCAATTTGCCAGTAGCCGTTTTTCAAGTCCATGGACAAAAAATAGCGCGCGTTCGTAGTATATCCAATGAATCAATACACGGCAGACGATAGACGTCTTTCTTTGTGATCTGATTTAGCTTCCGGTAGTCGACGCAAAAACGCAAGCTGCCTTCTTTTTTTTTTTAACTATCTTCCAGCATCGTTGTCACCTGTTTTTTAATTGAACGCTCTTTTGGGGCGACGCGATAAGGATTTTGCCGGATAGGTCTGGCGTCGGAATCCATAATGATGCAGTGTTTCGTCAATGCCGTTTCACCAACTCTAGATGTGGTACTTGTTGATCAGCGCGAGAAGGCGGTTTCCCTCAATGGAGACAACGTTCGACTAACGTCAACATTTGTCGGCGCAGTGATAGTAGACGCTGCTGCTTCCTCCAGTAAATAACAATCTTCTATTTGAGCGAGTTCATTGAAATAAGCAATAGCCATGCCATTAGCTATGTGTCGGCGTTTTCTGCCGAAATTTGTCAACAAGAGTTTAGCGCATCCATCAATAACAGTGATGACAGCCCTGGCAATAGAAATGCCGCTAGTGAATGTGAGCTTCTTGATGTTTTCAGCGATGCCAGTACGGTTTTGTAAGATGCCGTAGTGCACAGATACGAGGGAGCAACTTTGCGGCAGCAGTATGACGTCATCTGCAATACGGAAGTGAGGTGGCTGGTGTTCCTCATTAGTAGCAGTGTGCGAGCTTATAGCGAACATTACGCTTCTGTCGCGGAGGTCAATCGCAGCCCCGTATTCGCACAAGAAATCCATTCCCAATACGAGCTGTTTACAGCACCCGTGAAGAATGACGAGGGTGGCAACAAAGAAGGAACCAGCGATGAGGAGTCGGGCCGTTCACTTTCCAACAGATGCCATCAACTGACCTCCTGCAGTTCTTATGTTGGGTCCGTGCCATGGAATCTTCACCTTCCTTAGTGTTTCAGCTAGCTGCAGGCTTATTATAGTAAAGTGGGAGCCAGTGTCCACAACAGCCGTCACTTGGTGGCGGTCAATGTCAACGACGAGGTCAGCGCCGATAACGTCGGTTATGTCGCCAGTTGTCTCATTCGTCGGATTAGTCGTTGCTGTCGTCTTTTTCGGCATCGGTGGCTTCGAGCTGTCATTTGTCTGCAATGGGGGCTGTTCAGAATTTCAATTATTGGCAACCCCACCTCCTCAAGGTCAATACGTCTAGTTTCCCAGTCGCGGGCTAGGGGACCTGCCCCTGTTGACATTGCAAAACTGCGACGATTAGGTGAACTGGCCCGTGCAGGAGATGGAGAACGTGATCTGGGCATTACTGGATTCTGCGGCGGTGTGTTCACAGGAGCGTCGTTGTACATGCGTCGATCGTCTTATGCAGAGTAATCAGGGTAGTGAGGAAATCTCGAGTATTGAGCGTCGCGATAACAGCAAACTCTGTAGACGTGCCCAGCTTCACCACAATAAAAGCATACTGGTCGTCGATCAGCGGTACGCCACAAATCTGTTTTCCGACGCTGGTAGGTAAGGGGGGCTCACTACTGGGCCACGTTGTGGAGTTCACATGTTGGCTTTATTGCATTCGTCTTGTCGGAGCAATCGGCGATCTTGGGAAAGTCATCGGCGCTGAGAGCGGCTGTGTATGCAGGGTTGGTGGTGGTCCAGTCATTGGAGTTCACTGTGCTGAAGGCGCGCCGACGGGGCGTCGGACTGCATCAGCATAAGTAAGATGTCGTTGCACATCCCCATAGCCGGATGAAGAGAGAGCCTGACGAACCTCATCCCGGACAACATCGGCGACAAAGGACAATGCCGGCGTCAATTCGCTTGCTGGAGTTAAACCAAGCTAGCTACCGAAGCTCCTCTCTCAAAATCTCCCGTATGACTTCCTGCAGAGGCCTGTCGTTGTCGGAGAGGCTCGCCACAGCTGTAACAGGACTACTCGCTCAAAA